AACGAGGCCCTCCAACAAAGGCATCTGCGCTTACGTCTTCGACCCCCTCGGCGCGAGCTACTTCCGCTGCAAGCAGTGCGGTAGTGAGCGCAAACAGCTCCCCAACGCTGGCTACTCAAACCTCATGGCCCACCTGACGCTCAAGCACGAAGGCTTCAAGGCCCAGTATGGCGTGTCACTGTCCGGTCACGCGGGACGTCTCCAGGACTACGGCTTCGTTTCCGAGAAGACGTCCCATCGTTTCCAGTGGATGCGTTGGGTTGTGGATCCGAACATGCCGCTCTCTGAGGTCGACAACGAGCTGACACGCTCTATGTCACGGTGGAAATCCGTGTCGCCACGTGTGCTATTCAACAGCATACACGATGTAGCCAAAAAGATCAGCAAGACTATTGAAACAGACATAGGTACAAGATTCGGAATAATGTTTGACGGATGGTCACATGGTTCTATGCACTACGTTGGCTTATATGCTGTATATGATCTGGACGGCACTCTACGTCTACAACTTCTCGCTGTGTCACCACTCGACAGAGGGCCCCAAGACGCAGACTCGCACATCCAGCTGTTTGACGGTGTTCTGGATCTATACGACAAGACACTCGGGATGGTGATATTTATCATCGGAGACAACTGCAACACAAACCAGGCTATTGCTACTAAGCTCGGTGTCCCTTTGATTGGATGTGCCAGTCATCGATTTAACCTTGCCGTTAACCGATACCTTACTGATTACGAGCCGTTACTAGCGCAAGTTAACACATTGATGTCAAAGATATCCCAAATCAATAATTTTGCGGAACTCGCAAAATCCACCAGTCGACATCCTATCACACGGAATATTACGAGGTGGTGTTCAAGTTTCGAAATGTTGGAACGCTACAATCGCATCCGCCCTCAGATCAAGACTGTGATCGCGGTAAAAGACTTTATACCGACGGGTTCTGCGCACCGCAAGCTGCTTGCTCTCCTCGAACATATGAAGAAGTTCCAGAGTGTGACGAAGAAACTGTGCAGTGTGACGGTATCGACTTAGCCGACGTTCGGCTTCTGTGCGACTCTGTGGTGCGTGAGTACCGATCAATGCGTGATCAGCTTAAGTCGACTGCTAAGATTTTCCACTCTCCCGTCTTCGAGGCAGCGGCTGTCAAGGTGATCAACGAAGGTGTTTTTTCAGCTGCAGAAGCTGCAGCGGTCAAGCGATTCGAGATCTTAAGTAGTGGTAGCAAAAGGAAGGCATGCAAGGAAGATTACGCGACGCAGATTCTTCGTGCTGATCCAAGCAAGCGCGCTAAGCATGGAGGAGACAGTGGCGATATTACCTACAGCGAGTTGTTGAAGCAGCTACCCCCAACATCAAATGCATGCGAGCGATTTTTCTCGCAGTGCAAGCTGGTGCTTATACCTCAGCGGACATGTATACTGCCTGCCAGCTTGGAGCTGATTATGTTTTTGCGTACAAACAGGGATTTATGGGATGTGACGAAGTTAGCTTCAGCTGGAGGCGACGCAGAGCTGTAGGCAATATTGCAATACTAACTGCAGTTTCTTTTATTGGTCATTGTGGAATTTCCCTTTTTAAGATTGCGCTGACCCACCGTCAATACTGTATTGGAGAACCCCTGATACTAATACAAACCGTTAAACTAATGAAGGTTTGCTAGTAGCAAAATTTCGCGCCTCAAATATACACAACGATACAATGGCTTTGGCTCTCCCGATAGAGAGCCAGTAATTTAAAGGTTAGCAGTTCCCAACAAGGCGATTGCGCTTCAAACTCCGCTGGATTATCTTCTTTTGTCAGCTGAAGCACCGCAACGAGTTCTTCCGATATGATGTTGCTCCTGCTACAAATGAAATGCTATGCCTATCTTGCTTGTACCCAACCGGTATCAATTCCCTTTACAAAATGAATTGTGATACTTGATTACAAATGGAGCCTTGAAAAATCAGTAAATACAACCCCCATACTAAATGGGATTATAATGACGGTACGGCCACGGTATTACACGAGGCTCAGGGTTTTATCGGTGTAAATTCAAAGAGGGCTTTCAGAAGTTTCGCAGGCATTACGATCGTTACTGGTAGCGAATAGTAAGCAGTTTGTATTTCATCCTGTGGTCGTCAAATGGATAGGACACAGCTGACAGCGTACGGCATGGCTCGTCGGCGTCCGAAGGACCTACACCGATCCAGCCAGCGTAGTGTGCTGAGTGCCTTGGCTAAACTTGTCCAGACATACCGAGGGGTCATTCTTGTGGGGCTTGCTTGTCGTTTGGTTCTTGTGTGCTCATATGTGAGCATCTTTGGGCCAATCACCTCGTTTACAGCTAATCTTCTATTTCCGTCCTTAAAATGGAGGTCTGATCCTGAAATTGTGCAAAATGCTATCCCTCTTGGCTGTGATGTGTGTCAAGGTGAGTTTGCTCTGGATGCCCGTTTGATTGGCCATTCCGATGATATTTTGTCTGATTCGATAGCAGGTTGTGCGCCAGAGTATATGCCAATGCTTCAATGCTGCTTTCTTCCGTGCTTCAAAATTTGTCATGTATTTGCGCTTTAGTGACGTCATAAATGTGGGAAGTCTACCACGATTTTGGATATATCTCGCTGGGCTCGTCATTCTACACCTTTGCCACTTTAAAGTGGCTACATTACAATGCAAAGTGGTGTGAAGTAGCTAAAGTAACAGATTACTTTTAGAGTTTTTATTCAGAAAATCGACTTTAGGTCAAGGTGAGAGCTGTCCAGTGCAATTTGGCTGGCTGCGAGCTCAGCCACAACGTGCTGTTGTGGACAGCACTCCACAACTCAATTTGGGCCAAGGATGCCGAGTGAGCCAAAGCACACGCTGGCCGCGCGCACTCGCGTGCTTGACGCCTTCAAGCAAGGGCAGGACTGGCTTCTTGTGGCCCACCACAACGCCATCCCCCCAACCACCGCCCGCCGCATCGTTGACAGTGGCTCCCCAGATCTCAAGCCAAGGGAAGGCGCTCGTGCTTTCAACATCAAGTGTACGCCAGAGATCGAGGCGGCGCTGGAGGAATACGTCGAGGTGAACTGCCTCTACACGCTGGTACAGCTGCAACAGATGGTCGCGTGCGACTTTGGTGCCAGGTTGAGCACGTCGCTGATCAGCCAGAAGTTGTGCGGCAAGCTATACACCATGCAGCAGGTAGCGTTTGCTTACCTACTCTCTCTATTGCATCTGCTTACTGACTGTTTCTATGCAGGTCTGAATTGAACCAGTTACGTGTAATAGCGAAGAGAATATCGAAAAGAGGCGCGTGTTTGCCGAAGCTCTGCTCAAACATGAGCGTGAAGGTGCATTTATTGTGTACTATGATGAATTGAATTTTAACCTGTACTGCAAGCGACTGCAAGGTAGGGCGCTGCAAGGTGAGCGCGCTGTGGTGAAGTTACCGGCGTCAAAGGGCAAGAATCTGCAAGTGCAGTGCGCTGTCTCCACGGAGATCGGTCTCGTGCACTACGCTATTCAGCGTCGGAGCATTAAGATGGAGGCTAACGCAGCCTTCGTGGATGCTATCTACGACGCTGTGAAAGCACATGACATCTACCAGAGTGAGTTCTCGGGGAAGGCGATTGTTATCGTGCTGGACAACGCGCCAGCGCATAGCCAGACGGAGGACCTGGTGCGCGAGCGCAGCGACTTGGTGCTACTGCGCTTAGGTCCGTATTCTCCAATGTGCAACCCCATTGAAGGTAAGGGCTGACCCAGTGTGTACTGTTATTATGTACTAATGTAATAGTCTAGGCTGCTTTAGTGTGTTGAAGGCCAAGATCAAGAGCTTTTTAGCTGTCAGCCATGACGAGATGTTGGGTGCGCCTCGTGGACAAATGCAAGAGCTCCGCATGCAGCTGCTAGAAATGGCAGCGGAGCGTTGCCTTCTTTGCATGACTGTGAGGCTTGTGAATAAGATGGCGCGTTACTGCGCGCACGCTGTTGCTGCTGCTAAACGCTCCGAGCCGATGGAGTACGGAAAGTAGCCATTTCAGTTGGATAAAATTCATTTTGCTCTGGATAAAAAATCACAATATAGGTTTTGTGAAATTTGAATGTTTGAGATTTTGACGCTAACCGTTTTGATTTTCACTAGGGCCACTTTGAAGTGGCAAAGGTGTAGTATGCTCGATATCAGTAGTTTTCACAAAACGGGCAAATTATTATACAATTTTATAGGTTTGATGAGACCAATTTTTGGTCTCACCAAACAATTCATCGTGATTAAACTTTAATGCGCTCATTTTTTGGCACCCAATTCCTTAAAACAAATTAAAATGTTTAGAAATGGGCAAAACAAAATGATTGTAATCACTTTTAAAAATGAATCTCATTGGCTGATTTCAGGAGTGTTTTACCGGCCAACCAACTTGACACTTTTACGATTGCTATGGCGCCGACGGCAGGTGCGTGGAGCTGGTGCAAGCTCACCCCACTAACTGTGCAACTACCTCGTCCGTCCTCTTACATCTCTACGCTATTTTCTTCGAGGCAGGAACTCGTCTTCGTTTCAAGAACGCGCGCTCTAAAAAGCCGCAGCAGGCCAAAAAAGTTCCATCGCTCAAAAATCGCATTCGAGGCCTCGAGCGTTTTCTCAGTCGCGGGGTACGTTGCCCACAAGTGATTCCAAGCACTTAGCAACAATTGTGGCAAGCCTAACCACATTTGATTTATTGGTGCACAGGGTCTCGCTGATGCAACACGAAGAGCCAAGAAGGCGGAGCTCGAGCAGCTAAAGGAAGAGGTGACTGCTTTTCGTCCAACAATCTATTATTATGTGTACTTACTTTTATGTTATTAACCAACAGCACGAGACAAAAGACAAAGTTGCACTGGAAAAGAAAAATGCCGAGAAATACAAGCGAGTGAGTTTTTTGCAATTGCCGAATTTGCAACAATTATTCACAGTCCGTATTTAACAAATCCATGGGTGTTTTTAATTGTCCATTAGCCGCGGTTCTTCGAGCGTGTGAAGGTCATGCGCAAACTGCGTCAAGCCAAGAATCGCATTAAGCAGGTGAAAAATCTCGAGACATTTCATTTTAAATGATTTCTAAAACGCTCACTCTGTATTGCAATTACTTCAGGCAACAGACGAGGCGGAACGCAGTGAACAGGAGAAGAAATTCCAGACGTACCGCGAAGAGATGATGTACATTTACTACTACCCGAAAGCTGAGCCCTACCTCTCTCTGTTCCCGTCTGCACCTCACTCGGAGGAGGATCAGAAGCGCCAAAAAGAGCTTCGTGCGGAGGCAATTGCTCAGTTTGAGAAAGAGCAACCGACCGAAGCGTTCCACCACTTCTGCTTCAACGACGGCAAGTCCAAGGATTCCAGTTCTGCGAACGAGGCGCGACCTGCCGTGGAACTCTTGCTCAAGAAGCCCACGAAGGAACAAGTCAAGAAGCAGAAGAAAGCTCGCAGTAAACGTGAAAAGTCTGGAGGGAAGACGAAGCCAACTCCCGCTCTCGTCGATCAAGATGACGACGACATGCCTGACGCGTCGAAGGCAGCGAGTGACAAGGAAGACGAAGAGGAAGAACAGGAAGAGGACGATTTCTTCTTGTAGAATAAAATACGTCGATTTGGTCACCGGAATAGCGCAAATGGTACTTTCAAATGGTTCTTGGAATTATTACTGATAAGTCTTTACGCTGACGAGAACTTGGTCAAGAAGACAAAAGAGGCTGTAGGAAAAAGGCGGAAGAATCTGGCAACTTGAAATTTTCTGCTAGATCAGGATTGATGGCCCTGACTCGTCTATAGTTTGCTGCTCGGTATCGGTGATCAGCTCCGCTTCGGCTTGCGAGGCGGCAGCTAGGGCGTTCATGTTAGTAAAACTGAAGGATCTGAAGGCATCTGCGAGTTTGGAATCATCGGGACTACCGTACATGCCACTAGGAAAGCGGAAGATGCTGTTGTTGTCTTCCACTTGCACAACGTCGTCTGCATCCAATGTATCTAATGCGCCTAAAGCTGCTGCCGTCCCCCACGACATGTCAACGTCAGCGGTGGTAGCAGAGACCATGCTTGTGTTGTTATCTCCAGTCTCCAAGTCCTCGTCTCCCTTCGGGTCCGACAGACTTGACGGCTGTTCGTCGCTCTCAGGACCCGAGTCAATGTTCTGACTACTACTTGCAGAGCGAGACCCAACGTCAAACTCTTCGTCATCAATGAAGATGTCCGTGAGGTTGCGATTGTTGAAATAACTGGTATCATTCGGTCCTTCCAGCGTCGGCACAAACGGTGGCACAGATTCCAGAATTGTATCCCAGTTGATGCCTTCGAAGAACGGGTGGAGCTTGATCCCTTCCCAGCCCATACGAGTCGATGGGTTCGGGTCCAGTAGCATATCTATCAAGTCCACCGCTTCAGCTGACAAGCATTTCTCGCCATCTGGCCATAAGATTTGCCGCTCGAGGATATTTTCGAAGATGGCGTCCACAGTGTCATCGTTAAACGGAGGAAACCCAACCAGCATCTCGTACAGGATGATTCCAAGTGCCCAATAGTCCACTGGCGGGCCGTGAGGGACACCCAGGACGATTTCGGGCGCGAGGTAGTCCGGCGTACCGCACCTTCCGTACGTATGGTACGCAGATTTTTTCTTCTTGAATGAAGAGCTCCGTCGCGGACGATTTTCTGGCGACGCAGATGAAGCTTCTTCTACCGGAATGGCTGCGTCCGAGTGGGTCATGGACTCGTCGTCTGGTTCCGAATCAGTGTCGCTCATGGCCACAGCATCCTCCGATAAGCCAAAGTCGGTCAGCTATGTGCAGTACGATAGAGAATACGATTAACAATCGAGACAGCGGTGGCAATTTGTAAGGCTACTAGACGCACCTTGATGTGGCCGGTTGAAGAAAGCAAAATATTGTCGGGTTTCAGATCTCTGAATAGTAAAAAAAAGCACACAACGACGAGGTGAGCCAGAGTGCGCGAACAAAAACCAGCGAAATGGAGTTTCCAACCTGTGAACGCAGCCCTTGGTGTGCAGGTGATTGAGTGCGATTGCAATCTCCGCAATGTACACGCACGCCACCTACTCAACCAAAGCGTCAGTCTTTTGACCGCACATGGTAAAGTCCGTGCAAATATTACCTGCTCTTCAAGTTGCACAATACACTCGAGCAACGACATGAAATCGCCTCCAGGAAGATACTCCATCACCAAAAACAGATTGCGCCTATCAAAAGATCGAAATAAGTTGCTGATCTCAATACGCCACTCTTTTTTTTTCTCTGGTAAATCCCAGGCCTGCTTACTTTGTTTGAAACGTCCAGAACAGCTTCACAACGAAGGGACTCACCACACTGGCCAGAATGTTCCTCTCGGTCTCAATCTGCTGGATCTGTGGCCAGCAACGACGTAAAAAAAACGCTCAGTCGGTAGCACTAGATAACAGTGACCACTCCGACAAGTCGTACCTGTTTCTTGCGTAGTAAATGCTCCCTGGCCAGCACTTTGATCGCATACTGGTCGCCGGTCGTCTTCTTCCGAGCCAGATAGACCTTCCCGAAAGCGCCCTTCGAGATCGGCTTGACGATATGGAAATCCCGGATAGAAACGCGAAAAGATGCCGCCTTCAAGCTCGATCGTCGTGAGGAGCGCAGTCCGAGCCCGTCGCTGTTTTCGATATTCTCGAGCGATTTGGTGCGCTTCAGCGGCAATCGCTCCGCCTCCACGGGTGCCTGCTTCAACATTACCTTATGCGACGCTCGCATTTTGCTCATCTTAGCATGGATCAAGCCACGCAGCTTGGAGCAGTACGTGGCTCCCTGTTCACTGGCAAATTCGGTCGTCTCGGCCTCCTGTTGTTGTATTCTGTCGACGATTTTCACTAGTCGGGCACAGAGTGCGAACGCGTCGACACTAGTCACGTCACACGTCGACGCCTGGATCGCTACCACGCGTAATGCATGGTAGATGTGCATCTCCTCTTGGTTAAACATTGGCTTCTGAGCCTCCTCCGTTAACGTGGCGTTGATGGACGCCGTGAGCTTCACCAATGAGTCATTAATGACGTCTGCTTCCAACTCGACTCTCTTGGACAAGACACAGTAGTTTGTGTGCTCGTCCAGACTGTTGGCGTCCACTTTGGTCTCACACAGTTTACACACAACCGCCGACTTGTTGACTCGTCGGAATTTCACTGTCATGGGTCGTTGACTGAACTGCAAGTTGTCCAGCACGTCTTCGGACGACACGGCGCTTACGTCTCGTCCATTCACCGCCTCCACGATCAAACCCTTGGTCATACTGACACCTGGCGGGATATTTAGCACCACAGTCGTCCAGGTTTCCGTGTGGACGCTCTTGATCACCACTTTGTTCCTACTTGCGTCTAACACGAACTCGAGACCAAGAAAGCCGTCTCCGAACGTCACGTCAAAGATCTCGTCCTTTCCGAACATATCTACGCCATCCTCAAGCATGTCGGTGGTATCGTCATCGACCGAGCCGTCCTGGTTCTCGCCACTAGTCGCGTTTCGGCGCCACATGACCTGATTCTTCTCCCAGCGGGTCAATACGTCCTCCAGAACGTCCGGAGCGGCGTCCAGGAGTCCTGGACGAGAGATGGAGTCTCCGCCAGCGCTGAAAGGCGGCACATTGAGTGTGTACTGGCGTTGCAGACGTTGAGGTTTGATCTCGAGCTGCAACTCCTCGTGTAGACGCTCGAGCTCGCTGCTACTGGTGCTGCTGGCACTCGGGCGACGTCCTCTACCGTCCCGGGGGAACTCCAGCTCGGCCACGCGGGCCAAGGCGAGCTGCTGCGGCCGCTCGGCCATGAGGAAATTACTTAAGTGGCGTCGAGATGACGAGGCGTCGGGCGAAACGTACTATGGGTCGGTTCTGCGACTTTTCTGGAGACGATTTGTGAAGTTTGCACTTGTAGGATAGGATTTTGTAGAAAGTATTTTATGTGGCCACGGAAAATGAAAGCCCGGCGGTTGGCAAATGTTCGTTTGCCGTCTCGCGTCTTTCCCTTGTGTGCCCGTGCCCCGCGCATTCCTGCGTTTTTGTGTCGAGATCTTTTAGCTTGTTGCATTCAAATTGTAAAAAAGAAAGCTTCCTTTCAAGATTCGCCTACAAGTAGCTTGCTAGTTGCTTCGAGCTTCAGAAGCACGATGGGGTGGACCGTTGAATTTCGTGGTGAAATTACAACTTAACTTCTGAGTTGCCCCGAATGTTTTCTGGTAAAGTGTGCAATTGGCTGATTAAATCGAACAAGGATGGACAGAACTGTTCGCTGTGTATTAGTGAGCTGGTTGCAATGTTTGCTGCAGATGACGACTTGGTACAAACACGAAGTGCTTGACGATCTCACCCAGGTATGGCAGCATTACGGCAAGTGGAATGCGTCACATCATCATGAACACTTCTTCCACAAGACAGTTTTGTCAGACAGTGTCGTTTCGAAGTGGTCATTTGGTAGAACTGCTGCGGTTGTTGTTTGGAAACACCCTGTGCGGTATTTAAGGGTCAAAATGACTTTGCATTTCAGAAAATATCAGAGATCTTTTTATAAAAGAGGACCTGTCGTATTCTGCACGTATATGTCATGAGTCAGCAACAAATGAGTGGAGCGTTGCTATCGAGATGTTCTACGGCAAGAGTTCGTCGTGGGGTCAGCAGCAACGTAAGGAGGCTGGACTCTGTCTCCATGTGAATCCGTGAATGCTCGCTAAGAACCAACGGTCGCTGGACAACACAAAAATTTAATCACAGGCTCTTCTGTACTTTTGGAACACTTGAGAGTCCGACAAGAGTATTCGGTGTTGCATGCGATATTACCTAAATTCACCCTTACCGCTGCCTGTTATAAATTACCATTTGCATTCCCCGAAAGTAATTTAACAATAATCTCATCAAACTATCTGGTCGAAATTTCAAGAATATGACAAGTCTACCGACTACACCTCTCAATATTTAGCAATTTACACTATACTGTACACCAAAAAAGTTAAGACAAAATGACGTTGTAACAAAAGGAAAGTACTCAAGTATTCTGGACGCCAGCACGCAAGGCGTAGCCTCCAAATATATGTACATGTAATACAAAATCGAAAGGCAAAACGCAATTATTTGCTTTCCGGGACTGAGGAGGTTGAACTTCCCTTGTTTCGTTTTTGCCGGCGAAGTCTTTCTTGCATTGCAGGTGTCTTTATCAAAAATGCGTAGCTTGAAAGTCCCAGTTCAGAACGTTGTCGAAAGTCAAACACTTGTACCCCTCCGCTTGAAAAACTTCTCAAAAAGTGAGCTATTCAGCTCGAAGCGTCGTCGCCCACGCCAACGCACAGAGGGCCACACACCGAGTGACGTCAGATGTATTACATGTAATGCATAATATGTTATAGACGCGTATCGCCTCAAGATCGCTCATATTTCGTTGGTACCAACACGCGTCCAGCAACAAAACGCACTTGGGCTGGCTATGATAGTAGCGAATCTCCCACTTTCGAATGCAACATAAACTTATCTTAATAGGGAGCCACACTGAAGGACGCTGGACTACATGTGCATGTACTGTACATTGTGCGACTGCAACATGGAATCCATGAAGATGTTGCTCGTCATCGCTGCGCTCATTGGTTGCCGAAAATAGCGCAACTGTGCAAAAAAATCCATGCCATTCCACAAATTGCCTCACAAATCTCAACGCCTCACTTTTTGCCCGCCGCTGGCGTCTGTGTATTGCCGCTTGGTGCGTAGTTGCCGATCGTGTCAGTGTCGCAAAAACTTCGGTACATTCTGGACATTGCGGCGTCCGTTATGAGGTGAATGCGACTAATTCAGTAGTCTGTTGTTGTCATTCCTAGACCACTTGCGCCTCATGCCAGCCTCCAAGAAGCGCATTCAGAACCGCGGCACGCTGAACGTGGGCACGCAACAGGTTCCCGCTGCACTGAAGGACTGGGTGCACATTTGGCACGGCGTCAAGGTGAACAACGGCTCCGAGGACACGTCCATCTTTCATGCTGGCTCGCGTGTCGAGGAAATGCCGTTCTGGAAGCAATTCATCCGACTGCCCGCCAATTCGCTATTTCCCAGAGTGTTTACCAGCTCCAATCCGAGAAAACCATACAAAGATTTCCTCTACGTGCTGCTGAATATGCGGTGGCCCATGTTACTCACCGTATTGCTTGGCGTTTTCATGGCTAATATTTTCTTCTTCGCTGCAATAACGTGTTTTGTATGTGGAGAGCCAACCAATTTCTTCGAGGCCTTTGACTTGAGTTATCAAACATTTACAACGATTGGCTTCGGAATTGTGTACCCGACACGCACGTGTGGAAACGTGAGCATGTCGGTGGAGTCATTTGCATCCATGATGGTTGTGTCAGCAGTCACTGGTCTGGTATTTGCCAAATTTGCCAAACCACAAGCCAAAGTGGCATTCAGCAAAGTTTGCGTTGTGCAACCATATGGTAAAAAATATTTGGCACTTGTAGTGCGAGTTGCCAATGCAACACAGTCCCGAGATGTAACTCACGACGTCATCATGGAAGCTGTTTTCAAAGTAAATTTACTGCGTGTGGGGCACAAGACCAAGCACATCCGCGCACATGATGACGAGGTCTCGGAAAAGCGTCGGCGCTCTCGTGTAGCAGCGAATTTCATGGTTCCAGAGGTTGAAGATGCTGTAAACGACCCGGCCTGCTCGACTTCAAAGGTGCTGACGTCGTATAACCTCAAATTGCTGCAGAATAACTTCATCACGTTCCGTATGGGGGTGGCTGTAGTGCATGTGATCGACGAGAACAGTCCGCTCTATGGTATGTCCAAGAACGACATTGCTCAGTCCGATATGCTCGTGGAAGTGGCCATGTCGGGTGTGGATTCGACCCTCCAAGATACCGTCTCCGAGCGGTATATCTACACTGCCGCAAATCTCAAGTGGGGATTTCGTTTCGCAGAATTATTGGACTTCAACGAGAAGAACGCAGAAGTTATCATGAATTTCGCAAAGCTGAGCACTGTGGAAGCTGCCCCCATTGACGATACTCGCTATCTCAAGCGAATTCTTTCGGATAACAATAACTATGATAATGGAGATAACGGATACACACGCAATGTGGGTCGCCGACGTTCTTATCGGACGTCCAGAGTTTCTCGCCATCAAGAAGACAATCATGATGAAGCGATCCACGAAGTCCCAGCTGAGTATACCGAGCCGATTATGGAGAGCTCGAGGTCCAATTCAGATGCACAGTCAGCAACAACAGATAATAGTCCACCAGCTCATCCGCATCCTCCGGTTTTGTTTCCGAAGAAAAATGGTCCAAAGAAGTTTGCAATGGGGTTAGAGCCGCTGTTCGAGCCACTACTTCAGCAGCCATTTGGTACACAGCGGATATCAAAGGCACCGTCGGCTGAAACCCGAGCTGCTCAAAGAGGAGGATTGCGAGTATGGAGGGAAAATGAACAGCCAGATACGGAGGAAGCGCGACGAAGACATACTGTACTGCAATTGCCACGAATCGGCAGTGCAAGTGTTCAACGTCGTAATAGTTGTGGGATGACGCAAAACAATGGAGCTGACTTTGAAAGTCCTAGCGGTCTTCGAGCGAGGGATCTTCTTCAGCGAGAAATGGCTGGATCTGCATTGATGGAGGATGATACCAGTACGATTTCACAAGAAGAAGACAAAAACTTGGATGCCGTAGATAATGTGGACTCGGATAGCGAAGACGAGGCAGAAAATGACAAAGATGATACCAGACCACGTCTGCGAGCTCAATCTTCCGGGTCTGCTGTCTCGATCGAGGTGGAGGATACTCCTCGATTCTTACGTATCCTGCCAGTTCACATCCCGAAATCCTTCAGCTTTATGCGGTTTTATCAGAGCGCTCTTCACGTGGGCTGGCCCAAGATCATCTTCGTGTTCGTGGTGTCGTTCCTAGCTCTCAATTTTGGCTTCGGGTTTCTGTATTGGCTCGATATGAGCCGCATCTCTGTATACGAGGACATCGTAGTGTCTGACTACGAGCTGGCGTTCTACATGAGTGTCCACACACTTGCCACCATTGGCTATGGCTCGATTGCACCGAAAGCCGACGCTGGGTACATGAACGTCATCGTGTTCATCGAGTCGATGGTGGGAATTATCACCGTCACGATCATCACAGGCATCGCGTGGTCCAAATTCGCACGACCTCGAGCTCATATCCATTTCTCGTCTCAGATGACTATTTCCACCATCTACGGTCACCGTTGCCTCGTGTTCCGAGCTGCTAATACCCGACACTCGGGCGAGGTGCACGAGAATTTCTTCCGGATTGGTGTGATTCTCACAAATCGACGCACAGGCCTTCGACAAATGTACGACGTGCCTCTTGTGACTGCCGAGTGGCCTTCGATCAAGTTACCGGCGACTCTTATCCATGTTATCAACGAGAACTCGCCGTTCTTCAAATTCCACTCGATGGAGGATCTCTCGCAGTCTCGCGTGGCTGTTATCGCGTTGCTTACGGGTCTGGACACGACCTTCTCGGAAAATGTGTACGCGCGCAAAATGTACTTCTGGGACGACTTTGCCTACGACATGCGCTTTGCCGACTTCGCTGTCATCGAACGTGACCGCGTGCTGGTGGACTACACACGCTTCGATCAACTCATTCCAGAAGACCGAGACGAACAGGTTAGCACTACACCTGTGCTCTCCGTAAGGTCTTCTATCGCCGATTTGGTTTAACGCACGTAAAAAAAACTGGCTGTACAGTAGCAGTATAATAAATGTACTTGGCTGTAACACAACATGAATTGCCGAAGTTGCTGTCATTTGCATCTTTGCAGATGCAACAGCAGATGCAACTACTACGTAGTGCTTCTGTAGTACTACTACTGTACTTGTAGTATAATATAAACGCACCAGGCAGATTTCAAATGACGACTACTGTAGTTTATTGTAGATGTGTAGTGAGTGGCGTTGTATCCTCGCCCGACCTAGCAGTTTGAGACCCTCTTCTACCTACGCAGCGTTTACCAGCGACCACGGCCGCCACGGCCACCGCCAAAGCCACCGCGGCCACGTCCACCACCGCCACCGCGACCAACCAGGTCGCGTAGCTCACGAGGCACTTCCTGCTCTGCCTCCTCCATAATCTTCACGAGAGGACCAGCCAACCTGCCGTTGTTGGAAGCCGTGAAGAAGGAGATGGACGTTCCCTTGTTGCCAGCACGAGCTGTACGACCGATACGGTGGATGTAGTCCTCAATGTTCTTGGGCATGTCGAAGTTTACCACGTAGCGAATATCTTTGATGTCCAGACCACGAGAAGCCACATCAGTAGCGACTAGGATCTGCGTCCTGCCGTCCTTGAACTCACGCAGCACATAGTCACGCTCCTCCTGCGACTTGTTACCGTGAATGGCCTTGCATATGTAGCGAGTGTTGCGCAAGTTCCGACTCAGTTCATCAGCTCCGCGCTTCGTCTCACAGAAAATAATGATACGGCCACCCTCGTAGATGTCGCGCAGATGGTCCTGCAGCGAGCTGTACTTCTGGTGGTCGTCCATTACCTCGACGATCTGTTTGATCCTCTTGTTCGCCGTCAGGTCCAATGACCCAACAGTCACCTGAATAAAGTCCGTCAAAAAGTCGTTGGCGAGCGCCACGATCTCCTTGGGCCACGTCGCCGACCACATGAGCGTCTGACGGTCAGGTCGGATCTGGCTCACGATCTTGCGTAGCTGCGGCTCAAAACCCATATCCAGCATGCGATCAGCCTCATCAAGCACCAGGTACGTCACACGACGCAGGTTCGTCTTGCCCATGCTGAGCATGTCAATCATACGGCCAGGCGTGCAGATACAGATCTCCACTCCGCGACGAAGATCAGCGATCTGGCCGCCCTTGGGGACGCCGCCATACACACACGTGTTCTTGATCTTGGAGCTCGCGCCGAACTTGTTACACTCCGCTTGGATCTGAACAGCCAGCTCACGCGTAGGGGCAATCATCAGCACAATCGGACCATCGCCGGGCTGCAGGTAAGGCTACAGAAGTAAATAAAAACAAACAGGTGGTTAGGTTCTCAGTATCGAAAAACCGCGGCAAGCAGTTACACGAGAAAGCAAACACAAGCGAGCGCCGAGGGATTTGAGGTGTTCGCATGCTGCTTTTTCTTCTGGCCATCGCCCACAACGCACCAATGCACTTTTTCGCACCGATCGATTGTCAGGAAGACGTCAGACTAGAAAAAAGCAGCCGTGATCCAGTTGAGCGCATGTCGGTAGTGCCGGACTAATATATGTCGAAGTCTGTTGGCGGGTACACTCTTTGTATACGTGTTGCCACGCAGTAAAGATAGTTTTTTTTTTCTTCTCCACCAACTTGACAGGCACTCCAGACCACAATCCGAACCCCGTGAAGTGACGAAAGGCACGCAAATGGCGCTCAATGAGGACGGAAATTCCATCATCAACGCACATCCACGTGTATCGACCAAACCCTCGCCTCAAGTGTTGTGTCGTTCAGCGCATCCGATAGTACGCGTGAACAGCCGTCGTGTGCTATACACAACTTTGCTATCAGCTCCCATCAGCGCAAAAGCGCCGCGAGAGATGCGTCGAATCCACTGAAAAGACTCTGAAGAATACGAACCTGTGCGTTAATATGCACGATTGCTGGCAGCAAGAAAGCCAGCGTCTTGCCAGATCCTGTCGCCGAAATACCGACCATGTCTCGTCCTGAGAGAGCCATGGGCCAGCCCTGGCACTGAATAGGTGTGGGCTTGTCGAAGCCCAGACGCACTACCTCCTCCAACACGTACTCAGGAAAAGATGCCTCCTCGAACGAAAGCACGCACTTGGGCACTCCCTTGCCTGACACGATGATCTGATTGTCGCGTTTCCACTTCTCATACTCGTCTTCCGAGCGCTTGGTTACGTCCGGATGCTCATAGTAAAAGTTCTTTTCGAAGACTGGCAGCTTCGACAGGTCCCACTGACACAAGACCTGTCCAAGTTCGAGCCCACGATCGCCACCTCACTCTCGAAGCCACCACCGCCGCCGCCTCCTCGACAGCACCTCCACTGTAGCCACCGCGTCCGCCTCCGTAGCACAGCCGCCCACCGCCACCTGTAGCCACCGCCTACCGCCTCCGCCTCCGTAGCCGCCGCCACCGCCACTGTAGCCACCGCCACCGCCACCATAGCCGCCGCCGCCGCCACCACGCGAGCCGCCACCATAGCCACCACCGCCGTAGCCTCCGCTGCCGCCTCCGCCGTAATCGCGACGAGAGGAAGAATCGCCGTATCTGTCACCGCGGCTGCTGTACATGATCAAGAGTGATGGTCTTTTAGACTGGTGGTTGCTTCTGTTCGCTCTTGCGTATTACCGGTCGTTTCGGCGAATGAGCAAGATGCGAGACAGCCAGAGAGCAATCGCTTTAAACGGGGAAAGACTTAGGCGATTTTTGGTTGGCTGCCGGAAGTGCGGTATTTAGCGCAATCAGATGTCGCAGTTTGCACCATTCGCGGAAAATTTACGATAAGAAGCGATGATTGGAGGAAATCAAAATGATCTTTGATAACATCAGCAACTGAACAAGAATTGAAGCAAATGCACTGACTGTAGACTCCTAGTTGGAGGAGCATGAGCCCGTTGAATTGTGCGCGAGCGCAGAAAACGATGGGACGGGGTCGTTGCTTCGCTCCAGTTAAAGAGTGACTTTGGGAGATTCAGTCCCGTTCTACGCTTTCTACGCTAGGATGGTGCGCTCGTACGAGGCAAACTGCTGGTTGGCCTCCGAGATGCTCACTTCGATCTTCCGCACGCCGCGATCCTGCCAAACGGGGACAATAAAGTTAAAAAGAGAGTTTCAGCAGGCAATGTATGGGCTGCATCTTTGTTACCAGGAGTGCAACAAGCGTGAAAGCGTCAATGAGTTGGTTGCTCTGAATAAATCATAGCAAAAGGGCACAAGCGTCAGCAGCAGCGACTTTGCTCAATGGCAACAGCCGCGTACAATGTAAATGGCAAGCTCCTCAGCCGACGAGTGCACAATCGGCAGAAGCGAGCAGTCAGCCTTCGGGAAGCTGAACTTCGCCATATCTTCCGTTAGAATGTGGACATTCGTGCCGTCAAACGAAATCTAAAGAACGGCAACAGAACCAGGTCAGCATTAGACGTCAGTGCACCAAGCAGTTATCAACTCTCTACCTTCAACGCATCGCTATTCATCGGCACAAGGAAGGATTCATTCAGGTCCTTGCAAATGACCCGCGATATCTTCTTAATCTCACCAAAATCCACCACGTAGCCATCCGGACCAACCTGTCCGGTAATCGTGACAGCCAAGCGGTAGTTATGTCCGTGTAGCTTCTCGCGGAATCCCTACAATACGCAATCACAACCAGTTAGTATCAGTGCACTCACCACAAAAGACACTCGCTCTGCATACCTTGTAGGCAATGAAATGCGCGGCGTTAAACTTCATGTAATCCTTGGACACGTGCACTTTGAACACCTCGTTATAGTCGCTGCCCATGGGGTTGGGCGTGGGTACTGGAGCCACTACTGGAATAGTCGTCGGTACTGAAGTCGCAGCAGCAACAGCATTGGTTGCCACGTCCGTCTTCACCACCTGCGGGCCAGCTCGGACAGCCGTCGCATTGCTGTTTGTCGACGCAGACGGCGAAGACGCAGCATTGCGAAGCGGCTGAATCTGCGTCTTGACGTCGTCCGGTGTCTTGACGCAGCCGCGCAGATGTGACGCCCAACGATCTACGTTGCGCGATGTGATCTCCTTGGCGCAGTAGCAGCACTTGATGTTGCCATCGCCGACATCGCGTGTCACGTACATTTTCACGATTGTCTTCTGTTCTGCGGAGAGTTCCTTGCCCATATTTGATCCGGCAGAGCTGCGCCTGCGTCGCTTGCACTCTGGTGTGGTTGACTGGGGAGTGGGGCTACCGGTAAGCACTTCCTGTTCGGTGATCTTTTTCTGCTCCTGCTCCTGGTCAACTGACAGCATGGTGGCAGCGCAAGCACTGGTTCCGACTGCTCTCCCTTGATGAAAACCAACAATTGACGTATATGATTGGCCGAAAATATAATTTTGTGTACCGTACGTCATTTTAATGATCGAGCATACTTCAACACTTTCGTTAGAACAAATGCTCACGAAAGACTGATAGACAGAATTATATAATGATGCATTCCAGCAGCGCACCCAGGTGCGCACATAACGGTGCTCTATTGGTCGGAGACAGCACGTGGCACAACACTCAAGAAGAAGTTCATGCTCACGCCGAGCAGCAGGCCAACTTTTTGCTTGCGGGGAACGGAGCGGTCGAGAAGCTGAGCAAACAAACACAAAACAGTCGCATTAGTTCAAGCACGAAGTAAGAATCAGCTACTGACTCACCATCAGAAGCATAAATACACCAAGCAAGAGGCCCATCAAGAACCCCCATAGAAATTCGGTGCCAGTGCCTTCATTATCCGCTGCCAGAATCGAGTTGTTCATGCCATTCATGTCGATCTGCGCATCCATCGCAATACGCGCAGTCGGCACAACATTGAGGGCTGCAAAAGTAGCCAATCACAATCCAGTCATACTAGCGTTAGCGCGTAGGGCAAAAGCAAACCTCTGCAGCAAAAAGATCGTACCAAACTCAGACTGTGGTCCTTGTGACGCCATCCACTCCTCTTCCAATCGGTATATCCGATCCTCGCTGCTTTCACCGGGAACACGTTCCGCCTGACTAATATACACCGAGAGCTGCGGGTAGAAATATAGACGTAAAGCCTGAATTTCCTCCCTGCTAAGTCGGTCGCGGAGTCTATCAAAACCTCTCCGCGTGGATGGATCATCTCGTTCCTCCGGTTCGCTATCCGTAGCTGCCATCTACCGAATAACAGCTCACTCAATTAATCTCCAGCGCGTCTCCATCGAAATAATCAATCCCTACCTGGTTGACCACAGCCTTCGGGGGTGCTGAGCTAATAGCGCAGTGGACAAAGTCCTCGGTTTTGACCTTACAGCTTTCGAGTGTGGCCTTGTCGTCCGACAGCATCTTGCCTTGGTGGATCAAACGCAGGAACTTGCCTTCAGCATTGGCTTTCTTCTTCACGATCTCCTTAAGTTCCCCCACGGTGGCCGAGGGGAAGATCTCCACGCGCAGTGGCTTTTCACTGAGTGTCTTGACCTTTAACACAATCTTGTCATTGTTGTCGTCATTGATCGTTATCCCCACGCAGTCGCCCGATAGCTAAACAAAAATTAATAAATAAATAATTAGAAAGGCGTTTCCTATCTTCAACATGGAGAGCACAACGAGAATCAAAGAGCGAGTGCTTACCAACGGCTTCTCCTCCGTGATGTTATCTGTGCGTTCTGGCTCCATCATGCTGCTTAAATTGATCGATAAGGCGCTCAAACGCCTTCCACGACCGCTCAGCGCCGCCTGCCTCGCGCTGCTATTTGGTCAATGCGGTTTTCTCCACTTTTTTATCCCAGCGGGTAGGGCGGCTGAAGCCAGTTGGATCTCTGTATCTCAATTGGATAAAACGATTTCCAGTTTTCAACCAATCCAGAGAGACTATGATGTCAGCATTGTAATTTGCTTGGGTCATGGCAAAAGCTACGGATGCTGCTGCATCGACTCGCGAACTTTTATCCAACAGCGACGCCGTGCAGGTTGCTGTCCGTGTTCGACCCCTAAGTTCTAGTGAGGCGTCTCAGGGCTCGGCAGCGTGCGTACAAGTTGAGGCCGCCAACGTTCTGCTGGATGACAAGCGTTTTCACTTCGATGCTGCGTTCCCAGCGACGTCGAAGCAGGTGCAACGGCAAAGAGTGCAATGATAATCTCGTTCAGTGTATTTGCTGATGTGGATCTGTTTAACGTAATTATTACAGGAGAGGGTCTACACGACGTTGGTCGCCCCGATGGTTGACCAATTCTTTTGTGGCTACAACGCGACAGTGTTTGCGTACGGCCAGACTGGATCGGGCAAGACGTAAGTAAAGACTACTAAAATATTAAACAAGTACTAGTACTGTATAGAATACCAGTATGTAACTATTCGATTGTGCTACAAAGGTTCACAATGGGCAACGATTTCGGATCAAACGCTGCTCAGCAAAACCGCGGTGTCATTCCTCGTGTCATAGAAAATGTAAGTGTTTGCACTCTGGAAAAAAAAATGTATATATTGACAAACTCTCGCTATGCGTGCAGGTTTTCAAGAGAATAACTGCATCGAGGAACTCACACCGCTTTGTAATTAAACTGTCATACTTGGAGGTGCGTGGGCTATAGTCGTCAAGGATACGCAAGTATTGCATAGCAGACATGCTAAATGTTATGACCTCGTTGTGTTGAAACAGATTTTAAACGAAGAAGTCCGCGATCTTCTCCCAATATCTTCTGATGAGCTACGCCAGTCGCTGTCTATACGAGGCGACGGTGAGCGAGGGATCTTTGTCCATGGCCTACGCGACCATGTGGTTCACTCGACTAACGAAGCACTAAGGCTTCTCCGTTCTGGAGCTCAACTGCGTGCCACCGCAGCGACGAGCATGAACGTCAGTTCCAGTCGCTCACACGCCATCTGTACACTCGCAATGGAGTTTCGTCAGGTCGCTGCTGAGGGCGTCAAGGAGACACGATATTCCAAGTTCCATCTCGTGGACTTGGCCGGCTCCGAGCGTGCGCGGCGCACTAACACACAAGGAGCGCGATTCAAAGAGGGAGTGAACATCAACAGAGGACTCCTCGCTCTCGGTAACGTGATCAACGCACTGTCCGAGCGCAGTCGACAAGCTCACGTTCCCTACCGAGACTCCAAGCTGACACGTTTGCTTCAGGATAGTCTCGGAGGGAACAGCAAGACTTTGATGATCGCTTGTATAAGTCCGGCCGACGTGAACCTAGAGGAGACCACAAATTCTCTACGTTATGCTGCCCGATCACGGAAAATCGAGAACCAAGCAGTCATCAACACAGACAGGAGCGCTAGTCACGAGGTGGGTCTCCAACGATGTCAACACCAATCTCCAGCTACTACATGTAGTACCGTGAGCTCTCTCGAAGAGTCGAATCGGAAGCTTACTGAAGAGCTTCGTCTCGCAAGGGAGGCCAAGGACGAGTGGAAGCAGGTCGCGCAGAAGTTGAATGCCAAGCTGGAGATTTCTATGAAGGAGCTTCAGGATTTCAAAGATCAAGCCACAAAGAAACCCGCCAAGAAGCGAAAGAAACGAGAATCTTACGAAACGATGGAGACGTGGTTCAGCAGTAGCGACGAAGAAGAAGACAACATTTCTGCCGATCCAGACTACGTGAATGACGAGAACTGTCGAAGCACGAAGAGGAAGAAAGACAACGGTGCACCATTGACTGGCAACGTAATGGACGAAATCGACGCAATGCTCGAGACCAGCGCCGCTTCCTGTTGCTCCTGCCTCGGCAAATGCGCAACAAAAGCATGCGCTTGCAAGATGCAGAGTCGTGTCTGTAGCGATACTTGTTCGTGCAACTCAGAGAAATGCCGGAATCGTCTGCTTCATGAGACACAAGCCGGCACTCGAGGCGTCAATCTCCAGGCCGAATCCACTGACCATGCGGCTCCATCAACTCCAACAAGGCCGCGTGCGCCTACAGACTTTGTCATGGCAGCTGAAGTGAAAGTGTCACCTGTAGTTGACTTGATGTCGCCGTGAAACCTGCGATATTAACCCATCGTTGTATCTGAACGCAGGTTAAATCATGCATTAGTTGACCGCTTTACTGAACTTCAACCGTCTACTTTAGACTGCAAGCCTTTGTCCTTATGACAAGTCTCCGAAGAGATCCAAGTCTACAGGTTCCGTCTTTTCCGTCATAAAGTCGGTGTCGTCTTCGTCGTCCGTGTCGGAGGAGGCATGATGACGCGCCGCAGCCTTTTCAGCACGACGAGTGGGCGTGCGGATGTTGACACCGTTCGAGTTCTTGTCATTGCTACTGTCCACGCTGCCAGCTCCTTTGTGTTCGCTCGTCCTGGAACGCGTCCGGATGACCAAAGCAGCTTCCTTGGGCTTCTGATACTGGTACGTGTTAGTGGTGCTGGATGACGAGTATTTGGCTCGCAACGCCCGCGTCTTCTCTTCACTCTTCTTCGCCAAGAAGTTCTGGATAAGTTGACGTTCATGATTGCTCATATACGCCAACTGTACACTCGTATCGATGACCAGAAAGAGCTCCTGGTATTCAGATTCCTGGCTTGTGAACGCCGCAGCAGGCGAGAACTCATACGACACCACTTCAAGGATATCGATCGAGTCGCGATGATACGGAATACGAGCGAACGCCAGTCGCTCAGCAGGGATCGACAGTGCAGCGCCAGCAGCGTCAGCCAAGTACGTGTCGGGGTGTTCCTGTTCCTCCGACGTGGATATAATCACCTCGTGCCGCATGTCCTTGGCAAACCTCCACGTTGCGCGGTTCACATAGGCAAATTCCACAATCCTGTGGTTGATTTCTGACGTCTCGGGCTCCGTCAAAAGTTCTGCCACGATGCTTCTGCCTTCATAAACTGCCAGTTTGGACGCCTCCACGAGCTTTTGGCCGTCCACCAGCACACTGGTCATCGTACTTTGACGCAGATCACGCAATCGGATGTGGGACGGCGTCAACTGACGAGCATCCACCAGATTCTTGTCCACCAACTCGTCCCACGCCCTCCTTCGAATATCTTCCACCAGCATCTCCTCGCTGATCACCACTTGACTCACGAACGTCAGCAACGAATCGTCCTTACCCGTCGACACGAGCACCTCATCAATGTCGAATAAACTCTGGCTGTCTGTGTCCGTGACGATCGGTTGCTCCTGATTGCTGTCACCGCTCTCTGGAGACGCAGAGCTAGCGCTTGTGGGGTTATAGAACATCAGTCTGAAGTTGTATTCACCCGTATTCAACGGAGTGCCCTCCAAAGCGAAGACTGTGTGGTTAGACCCGATCGATAACTTGGAGAGCGTGCTGTCAATCGCCTTGATCTCGACGCCAGCGCTGTTAATACCTCGAAGCAGCTTGAATTTGTTCAACGGGAGACCAATCTTGGCACCAATCCGCTCTTTTAGTGTGCGGATCGTCTCTCGTCGGTCGATACGAATAGGCTCCGCTGGACTCGTCAGGTACTTGAAGTTGACTGTGATCATATTTGCTTCACGCTCAAAGAAGGCTTCAGCTGGAGAAGGAAGACTCAGATCGGACGTCTCCTCGAAGTGCAATTCATTGCCATTCATCAAGTGCAGATCCATCTTCAGGCGTGACTTCAGTGTCCGCTCTTCGTCATTTGGGTTGAGAACTTTGGCTGCAGAGATGCTGTACGTAGTCGTACTCTTCTTAACGAGACGGATCTTCTGCTCAGCAGAGACGGAGAATTTCTTGGCGATGAGAGCACAAAGCGATGCCACGTTTGCGTCCTCGTCCACCTGAATACACCTCGCCATGAATACATTAGGCGTCTTGTTACTCTTGCTTGACTCATCCACAAAGCGACGGACGAAGAGCTGGAGCTTGGTCGGGTCATGGTCCTCCCACTCTTCCTCGTCACTCTTCACCTCCAGGAACATCTGCTGGCCAGTATAGATCCCTAGCGACGACAGAGCCTTGTCTTCCTTGTCGTTGTACGTGTCCGACAGCAGACAGTTATAGTCGTTATAACCACGGAGCCGCACATTCTCTATGGACGGAGCTACAACGTCCTTCTCCTTGGCAAACTCCTTGCATGCAATCTCCAGCACTTCACGGATCGTTGCAGTCTTGTACACATGGATGGCTTTCTCTAAATTCTTGGGCTTGGAGCCTTTCATAAAGAACTTGATCTGCACTTTCTTGGCCATTTCGATCCGTTCCTGCTCCAAGCCCTTTCCCAAGATCAGGTCATGGAATTTTTAACTCGTCACTACGCGCCTCCGTCGGTTGGAAATGAATAGCAGTCTCCACATCTGCTTTGCAACGGAGGTACATGGTGTGGAACACACAGGGGTACGAAGTACCCGGAGAGTCAACATACTCTCAGTACATAAGTTGGAGAGTTAACAAGGTCTCTCAGTACGTTGGCTGAAAGCCACACGTTATGAATTTGATTAGGTTTAACTCTGCTAGATAGTTAAAGAGATACATTTACCCCTAGGCGGATTGGCCGCAATAATAGTAAATAAAACACTTCTGGTTTGAAGCATAAAGTTAAGGTATTAACTTTGAGCCCTGGTCTTGGGCTGTAAGTGTCCTTTGGATAAGGAACTTAATATTAGTGACTCTTCGAGTCGAACGTCTTCCTCTGACGCTAAAGCTACGGCAGCCCCGCTGCACTTGGTAGCACTAGTAGTCAATCCCGCTCCTGAGTCGGTTGACTATATCCTCTGCGAGGATGGAACACCCCGTGTTCGCGAATTGGCCCCCGGCGCAGCAGGACGCGCTTACTAAGCTTATGTCCTTGCTTGGCCCGGAGGGCGTGGCTCATCTTGCATCGCAAGGTCCAGAGGCGGTCACGGCCAGGCAGGAATCGTCTCCCG